CATAATTATATATATATTGATTATTGTATATACATATATATATATATATATACACACTCGTATTCATATTTAAAAACATCTCTACATTTCTTTTATCTTCATAAGCATCACGCACACAACTACGATGTATACTTCTGACGATAGTATTAAGATAAGTTATTTTATAACGGATTTTTGTCGTATATTTTCATAAATGATTGTTCTTATTCGTCTATAGTTATAAGTCTATATATGTACAAATACTAGATAATATATGAATATATAAATCTTCGAAGTTGAAACCTACTTAGGAAGACAATGAAAGAGAAATGGAATTAAATTCAGCGAATATAGATATGCTACTTTATCTTTTATTGTTTGAATTGAAAATGACAAATATAATAAATAATCTCAGTACTTATGCGACTGAATTTTGACACGAGTCGCGTCTACTTATAGATTTTGAAGCCGGTGAGGATGGCGATGATAGCAGCGGCGGTGGAAATTCCTGGCGAGAGGAACTGCAACGACGTTATCAGCAGGAGAATGACTTTTTGGCGGAATTGCGATCTCGTAATAGCATACCGCAAACACCGTCGGCTACGTTGTCTAGCGAACAGGAGCAGGAAAGAGGCGAGAGAGAGGAAGCAGACGGTGAGAAGGAAGATGAAGATGAAGCCAATTGGGCAGAAGCAGTGAAGAGATGGGTCAATCGATAAACTGATTCAACAAGAAGTATCACAGATGGTAAATGTGACAAAATACGAGTTTAAGAAATTCAGTGAAAAAAATTGAGAGAACGATTGAATCACATACACACTGTGGACTACTATTTCGATATTATAGTATACACTTGTAATCTTAGGGAGAATTGGATGTTGTGCGATTTTTTGAAAAACCTATGCATTTTGTAAGACGTATATGTACTTGCAGTCGAAAAACAACGCGAAAATCGACGAACGAATTGCACGAAAGTCATGAAGATTTTCATGTATATGAAATCAAGTACCGTTATTCATTCTTACAATTAGAATATTTATATCGCAAAAATACAATGATTTTGCTACTCTGTTTATTTGCAAATTGTAATAAAACTCTCAGAGTTTGTTAAATATACACACATACATATATACATGTGTGTGCGTGCGTGCGTACGTGTGTACGTGTGTATGTAGCTATATAAATACGATTCTAAAATAAGCATTTGCGTTTATTATATAATATTTTTTTATTTATTGTTATTGTTACTCTCTAGTATTTAAAATTACTATTAAGCAAATTAAATGCAATATAAGGTAAATGTACCGGTTATTAGACAGTTAAGGAATTGCACGACGAAATCATTTATTTAAACTTTAGAACATTAAAATTTTAGTTTATTGCACATGCTTAGTAAGAATGGATGTTTTCTGAAACTAAATCCATTATCACATATGTTATTTGCGTTTATTATAAATTGTATTTAGTCATAAATATAATATGATTCAAATGTCCTAATTATTGGACAAAAAATGTGACATGTCTCTGTGTCCACAAAATTATGACCCAATTATTGGATAAATAATAAGCAATTTTCTTATTATAGAAGAGAATCGCATTTTACTTACTTATCAATCAAGATTATTCAAAAAAGTTTATCGAAATTGTAATTAGTGAAGTTTTATGTAAAGTTTTATATGTAATATATACAAAATATGTTTGCAGTAGACAGGTACTCTAAGGAATGTCCAATAATTGATACACGCATATGTGTGAATGTCCTAATGAATGGACGATTGTCCATAAACGAAATTTTTTTTACAAAAGTATTATTTTTAATATGAATAAATTATATAATTCTTAATTTCTAAATAATATGAAAAATTGCTTAAAAATTTATTTAGAGTAACATATCATCAAAAGCTTAATATTTAAAATTGTCACAATTTGTCCAACAATTGGGTCGTGTCCACGAACTGGTACATTTACCTTACAAGAGTACTGTATGTATCTTGTAATTCCATCGTTTTAAAGCTACTTTAATTTTAAAGGAGCATATATTTGTACATATTTAAAACAATAATTGGTAACTAACGATATGGTTTTATCATCTTGAAATATTACTAATTCACAAACGTTTATATTATACCATACAAAAAATTTTGCACAAGTTACCATATTGACCAAATCTGAAATAATTAACTGTAACAGTAAGGCGATTGCAATTAAATCAATTTTTTAATGTATTAGTTTAGCGGAATCTTGATTTGGAGAGCCAAAATGTGTTTTCTACATTCGTACCGGCGCTTGACGTACAATAACGCTATTAAATAATAATATGTAAACGAGTATAAAAATATTGACGCATTAGATAACGCTTCGAATGGCAATTTTGAATTTGTTCGCATTTACAATTGCAGAATACGAAAGAGTAGAAAAACGAGACTAGTCTTACGTACAAAGTACTTGTTTTTCAGTTCCTAGAATATAAGAGAGTATTCCGAATCCAATTGTTAAAACATGACTGCTACTGATAAGAACTAATGCGTTTTGTAACATTTAATTGTATGCCCTGTCCACGAAACATCCCGTGTATATATACATATGTGACGTCAAAATTCCTTTTGTCTATCTCTTTACGTATAAAAATGATGTAGTACCTATGAGAGCTGAATAAAAATTTATAGACATAGATGATTATCTTAATCCCTGGACTGATAAATAATCCCTTCTAAAAGTTTTAAATTATATAATAATTCTTTAATAACACACAAAAACTCCCGTACAATTTAAAATTAACTTGGAAAGAAAAGCCGGCACTAGGAGTCAGGCGCAGATAACTTTACGCAAACGCTGATATTTATCAAGCAAAACTTATTTATTATAAAAATTATTCTTACATGTTTCGGCTCAATTTTGAGCCTTCTTCAGAGACAATAAAAAATTACATAAATAACGACTTCTACGATTATACTGTCGGGGCAGATCTCTGTCCATCTCTCCCTCCCCCCCTGCTGAGGGGCGCACGACCTCTACGATTGTACTGTCGGGGGTGTTCCATTCGTTATATAACGATATGAGTCTATTATTTTATATTTTACACACACAGACACGGGCGGGTGCAAGGGGGTGGCCTTCGGCCCCCGCAGTCCGCACCCACACCGTCGACAGAGGTCTGCCCCGACAGTACAATCGTAGAAGTCGTGCGCCCCTCAGCAGGGGGGGAGGGAGAGATGGACAGAGGTCTGCCCCGACAGTACAATCGTAGAAGTCGTGTGCCCCTCTGCAGGGAGGGGGGGAAGTTACTTCGCGTGGAAAGTTCAACGTTTCTGAACAGGGAAAGGTGTAGAATTTCGTGTCTGACAACAATATATTTGTTAATTTCAAATTTCGTGCATTCTGTTGGACTCAAACGATACCGAGCGCATGCGCACGAGGTCAGGCAGCATGAAGAAGGCATACTCGTAGCACTATATGTAGGCTGCGGTCCACTCAGCGCTTCAAACGCTACAGAACATTTGTAGCACTAATATGGCTGATCCATTTGACGCTTCAGAACGCTCCCAGCAACTCTGATTACATCATCAATACGTCATCGTTTTCGCTCCCGCTTCGCTCCAACTGCCTCACCTCGGGAGGTGGGTTGGCTGGAGCGTTCAAGTAGCAATTGTAGCATTCGGAACAGTAATGGACCAATTCAAACATAGCGTTTGGAGCGTAGCATTGAAAGTATTTGGAAGAAGCAAATGGACCGCAGCCGTAGTCGGTATGACAGATTTCCTAACCTGAATAGTCGTTAACTTTAATTTTTTTCGTCAGCTACGGAGAGAGGAAATGCATTCTGGAAGTTTTGGCGCAAGAGATATAAATGTGTATCTATGGGTGCGGTCGAGTTGCCACTACGAATGCTTCGAAGCGTTTGATTAACCAATCAGAAGAAAGAATTTTACAAATTAACCAATCAAGAAACGCTTCGAAGTATTCGTAGTGGCAACTCGACCGCACCCAAAAACGCGTCGAATAAGCCTAATTTGATGGCTTTTTAAGGTGAGGCAGTGATTCTGTATAATTACCGAAATTAGTCACATCGATGGCATAGACGAACACGTAAGTGAGGTTAGAATAAATATCGATCTCTGCAATCTGTACGATCGTTAAGTCGGATAAAGAATCTCAGCATCAGCAATAACAAAGGATTAAGGTTAGAAAATCTGTTACATTGATGGCACAGAATAGACGAACACGTAAGTGAAGTTAGATATTTTCTGCTTTATTACACAAATTCTCTGATGTAATTCCGCTGTAAGAATACAAATTATTTTCTATATAATTATTTTCTCTTTACAGCATTTGGTTAGGTTACTTTTTACAGAGACACTACCGTGTCTCCAGATCTGTTATTTATTTGTTTGGTAGATACCTTAATTTCCCTGATAGCAAAGCCTGCGGAAACAGATTTGGAGCAGAACCTGCTGACAATATTCGATTGCAAATTGGCAACAAATTGTAGACAGAGTCTGTATTGTCAGCAAACTGCTGCTAAACTGCTATCAACGTCTGTTGACATGTTTTACAGCAGATTGGTTACAAAAACCGAGCAGAGTTTGTTGACAATTTTTAATTGCAGAAAGGCAACAAATTGTAAACAGAGTCTGTATTACTAAATATTGTCAGCAGACTCTGTTCGGTTTTTGCTCACAATCTGCTGTCAGATCATGTCGGCAGACTCTGCTCGGTTTTTGTCACCAATCTGCTGCAAAACATGTCAGCAAACGTCGCCAAATCCATAGTCAAATGCGAACGCAGATGGCTACGGTTTTGTAGACAAGATCTGATCGAGTTTGCTGCCAATTTGCGCGCAATTTGGCATCATTTTGCTATCAGGATAGTAAACTACTGCCAAACTGCTGTCAACGTCTGCTGACATGTTTTGCCAGCAGATTCGTAGCAAAAACCGAACAGAGCCTGCTGACAGAAGTTGACGACAGATTAGCAGCAAAAATCGCGCAGAGTCTGGGCTTAGCTATTTAAATGCTCATTCTAACCGCGTACGCGCGCGCACTCTAACCTCTCTCTCTCTCTCTCTCTCTCTCTCTCTCTCTCTCTCTCT